GGCTCCCTCGGCCCGGTCTCCCGCGGGGCCGCCCGCCAGCGCGCGCGGGAAGACGGGGTGGAAGCCCCCCACCCCTGGGCCTGTCAGCGCAGCGCTGGGCCCCGGCCGGCTCCCCGCTTACCCCTTCTCCCACATGCCCCCCCGGCTGCGGGGCAGCAGGCTCCGGCCTCGTAGCCCCGATGACCCGTTTTATGGTGGCTGTCGGAAGCAGGCTGTGCACTGTGGCAGCGGTGTTCCTATTTTAAAAAAAATGAAATTTCCCCGGAGAATAACACGCGGGGAAGAGCAGCCCCGTGGCCGCGCCTGGCCCCCGAGCGCTGGGGTCGTGGTCCAGACGATACCTTGTAGGGACCAACGAGATTTCTGCCCAAAACAATCTTCAATTGCAAACTGCCCGTCAGGCGTCGGAGAAGAGGGTGGTACAAGTTCTCCTGGGTGGAAGCGAGCTCGGTGGCGGCCGTAAGATACAAAAAGGCGGTTGTCGATGGGAGGTTTTGTCGCTTCAAACTGGACTTTTCTAGTGTGAGAGGAAAAAAAGATTTGAATATTAAAATCTGGAGCAGGGACTTGGACCAGGGCCTTTCCGACCCTGGAAATCAATGAAATATTGTCATTTTTCTCAGTGGTGTCTTTAGGTCTTTTTTTTTTCTCCCTGTGTGGGCCTAGCGCTCCCGGGCACAATCGGTGCCGGTTTCTGAGCTTCCCTGTCTCTTCAATTCACTGTTTAACGAGTGGAAATAGATAGCTGCCTTTTCATATTAGCTCGCGTAGCATAGTCGTGTCAGTCAGGCTTTCTCTTAATTTTTAATTTTTGTCTGTGACTCTTGTTTTTGCATTGGGCTGGAGTTTTGTTTTGTTTTCTATTGCTGCACGTTGTAGCTCCTTGCACATAAGGGAATTTTCTGCAGTGCCCTTTATTTAGGATTTTGTTCACACGAAAGGTTGTCGGTGAAGCTTGTGGATGACGGCAACGTTTTGACTTTTAACCGCTAGCGGGGGGAAAAGGATCGAAAAACACATGTTCACGACACGCATACCATTATTGAACCTCATCATGTTTTACATTAGTCCGCTCAACAGCTCTTGTCAGCTGGCTGCAGGCGTGAGGCAAGAGTCCCGGAGCCATGCTGCTTGGCACAGTTGACGCTAGAATCGGTTCTTGATGTCCAGGCCTTTATTTGGACCACGCTCGTCTTTGAAAGTTAACCTTTCACTGTTAAACCTTGTTGGTGTTTTATTTTGACTCTGAGGAAAAGGTCAGAGAGAATTTGAGAAGAGCAGTCATGTGTTTCCATTCATGAATAGACTCCTACTCCCAAAGGTACTGGGCGGTGATGCGAAACTGTTTTGTTTACATCTGATCTGGAAGCGTTGACAGGTGAAACAGTGGCTGCATCAGATGCCGTCCATTGAAGTCCCCAGTACCTTTGAAAACTGAATTCAAGGCACTTTAAGAATATAGCATCCACCTTTTAGTCCTGCCCGTCTTCAGAAATCGAGAAAGCATGCTAGGTCTAAGATGTTTCTTTTCCACATGCCTTGTCAAAAACTCTCAAAGACTAAATCACAAGTGACTATATGCAGTGTTGTCAAATATGCAAGTAAACTGGGGGAAAAACAGATTAGGAAAATATATTTTTATCCTAAAGTGTTACTTGGAATTTGTTTTCTAAAAACATTAGCTGGAATACAGCACATAAGAAGTGCGATGGGCAAACCTGTAAGAATTGCTCGGATGCCCAAGGAGGAAGAAGCTGCCCTTGGACTTTCGTGTGTAGATTCTCCCATTTTCTTAGGTGCTGGTAGGGAAAAGAAAAGATTTAAATAGCAGAGAAACTGGCCAGAGCCTTTTAAATTTTATTTTGTTGCAGCTCGTCAAAAAACAGAGTAGCTTCTGAGACGCTGGTAATTCTGTCTGCAGACTGGGGAAACCGACTCTGCATTGGTTTATGTTCTGTTAGTTGGTTTTGAAGGCTTTTTTGCAGCCATAAATCAGATGGGGGGGGGGGGGGGGGGGGGGGGGGTGGATATGGGGT